CAATTGGGCAGGCGTCTTAACCCGCCCTGGTATAGGCTGGAGTCTTCGAGACCCGCCTCTTCTACCCAGACCCCTGGGGTTGGTGGGACCTGCCAACGCAGCGGAGAGTGGAAAAAAAAAGAAAAGTTTACGCGGCCAGTAGGTCAGGGTCTAAGAGCAACCCGGCTGAAACAAGCATGGGCCCGGCTCGAAGGCCTGGGATGGTGAGTTCTGCGGATCCGTAGGGTAGAGGAGGTAGGAGGTAGTCCCTGCCTGTGGGTAGGGTAATAGGCCTTTCAGTGTGGCTAGGGCGTTTCACACCAACTTGCATGCTTAATTAATCTGACATGTTGACTGAGCTCTGCTCACGCCTCGCGCGCTTGGTGAGAAAAGTTTACGCTTTCCTTGGTGTGCCTAGTTGTTGGCAGTACAGAAGCTGTCTTACAGTGGCATGTCTTCGCAAGAGCATGTGTTTTGTGCGTGGCTTTGTTTTGGCATGGCAAGAACTTGTTTTGGCATGGCATGACGTTTGGTTCAGTTCCCAGTGATGAGTTTGGAGAGCACTGAGCTTGCTGTGCAAAGCCTTGAAGCAGTGCGTGTGAAGCTCTGAGGGACAGACCTTTGCAGTTACTCACTCCGTGTGCATGCCCACGTCGTTCGTACCGTTACGTGTGCGTCGGGAACCTGACTGAGGCATGGTGAGTGCATGCTGTTGGTTTTGAGACAGACTTGAAGTCCTAAAGCAATCCCCAAAGGTTTTGCATGTTTCTTTTGCTTTCCTCCTTTGTTTAGCAAAGTTGAGATGGAATTTGTAAGCCTTGAGACCTGAGCTCTTGGAGAGAGCTTTCTGCTGACATTGGACAGATCAGCTGAACACCACGGTGTTTGGCTCAAGTGCGACTTGCGAAAAGAACTGTGCGAGTGCTCTGCTTTTCACAGTGTGCAGAGCAGTGAGCGCAATTTGGAACAGGGCGTCAGCCCAGACTTGTCGTGCCTGCGGCAGCAGTGAGAGAGCGTGCGATGCATTGCCACTGGCCGAAAGGAGCAATGGCCGCTGCATAACGTCAAACGCGCAGGCTTGGCCAGGAGATCAGCAAGCGTTTCCATCTCTAGCCCTGAGAGGCCACGAGTTGGCGACATGCAGGATGCCAGCAACCCCCGGTCGGAGTAGGACTGCTCCGCGACGGTGCCTGGCTCCGACCACGTTGGTGGTCAGATGCACGTGTGCTGCTCCGCGGCGGGCAGAAGAAGCTGGTGCGCACGCTGCAGCCCAACGGGAACTGCCATACCACCCGGCTGGACAAGACCTTCTTCAAGGACAAGTTCACAGACGACCTGGTGGTCATCCGCAGCGCAGAGGACGCAATCGCGGGCAACGCCTGCGTGACCACGCTGAATGCGGGCCTCGCGCCAGTCGGACGCCCTCTCGGTGAGAGAAACGTCAAGCAGCGGTGCTGCAGCAGCTGGAAACCCTGCGCCGGGCGCGTCCCTCGTGGAGCTGAGCTGGACGACAGGGCAAGGGTGGAGACGCAGCTGCGGCAGCCTCTCGGCACCCTGCTCGGCGGGGACGTCTCCCACCAGCTGCGCAACGGCTCGGAGATCCTGCCTGCTCTCCGCCTTCGAGAGGCGCGAGGACCGGTTCATTTTTGGACTGCGACGCTCTATTCGGACTTGCGTATGAAGCACTCACTCGGCAACTCTGCGGTCTCGCGGATAGGTATGTGGAGCAGGTGTGCAGGTGGTCCGCTCCGCCCTGATGGGCGTGGCCTGTGAGTTTGTCCGCCTCTCGCCAGAAGTCCACGCCTTCGTTCAGAAATGGCCCGACTCATTCCTCATGCCGATGTCGAGAGTGTGGCTAGAACCCCGGGCAGTGAGGACAGCCAGGACGACCCTGCTCCCACCAAGGGTCAAGGCCCTCAGGCAGCAGTGCTGCCGGCGCCTTATCAATGGAGTAGAACCCCACCTTACAACTTACCTAAAGCCTTCCAAGGCTTGTCCCATTTCGGAGATCCTTGACATGTTCCTGCCGGCTCTGTCTTGAACGCCTGGTCGACTTGCTTGCGTACCAGTTTGAAGCCATGTCGGCGGAGGCGGCAATAAAGGAAGAGCCAACAGAGCAGTTCCATCACCACGCGAGCAAAAGGTGAGAAGGGTGCTCCCCCACTTGTGCAACTTAAGCCTGGGGTCAACGGGTGGCCGGTTCGGTTCTTACACAGGGTTGCCCCGCAAGCACTGACGTCACCCCGGGTGTCAGTAACTTGCCGGTGGATGGCAAAGTGCCGAATGAGGGCACTGCTGTCTTGATCACCCTGAGCGCGCCCGGTTTCAGTATCACCCTGCAGGGCGTCTTCTACCAATTGGCCACCCAGCGAAAGCTCAAGCTCCCATACGGAAGGACTAAGGCCATGAAGCCGCAGCACCTTCATGTGGCTCTGATGCTTAGTGACCATCAGGTTCAGTCGCTTCTTGACGCTGATCCGCAGCCATGTGTGTAGAAAAGTTCGGCGTCCTCCCTGGGGGTGCTATGACGCCCCTCTGGGATGCCCTTCTGCCATCAAAACAATGTGGCATGCGGCGAGCACTAAGCTTGTGCGGAGTTAGGGACAAACATTGTCCCTCCTGGAACCCCCCCTTGGGTGGCGGAACCTGAGGAGTTTTCTGACGAGATATTGCTCGAAGGGGAGGTAGCATCCGACACCTCTGCCGGGCCAAACAACGGTCCCGCCTCTACGGCTGTGAGAATTTCACAACAGGATGCAAAACGTGGCCAAACACGCATGTGGCAGTAATGGGTACAAGGTCAATGTTCCGGCTGAGGCCGTCTTCGCAGATCCTCGACTCCTCTGGAATGGATGGTAGAATGGATGGTGGTTTTGTCTCTGGCACTACGTCTGCATTTTGCAGCCTTCCCTGCACTGCGCGAGTCTAAACCGACTGGTCTACTTCGACCTCCTCGTGTGCTGAGAGTGGGAAACGTTTCACCTTAGATTGAGTTCTAGGTTGTTTGCTTTCTTTGTTTGCGTTGCGTGGTGATGTTCTCTGCTTAGTTTACTCTTTGACTCACTTCGTCGCAACAGACCGGCCCACAGTGCTGCTGATGTGGTAAAGGGGCGTCCGCTTTAAAAAAACAACCTGAGCCTCTGGCTGCCACCACAGAGTGGCCGTGACAATAGGTCATGTCTAGTGGCTGCGGTCGAAATGGCGAATAATCATCCACCGAGCCGTGGTGAAGCTGAGGACCTAGTGAAGCGTGGCGAAAATCCAGTTCCCTTGCCAAATAAAGTTGGAACAGGCGTTGCTTGGCGTGTGTGAACCATTCTTAGCAGTTTGGAATCCTACTCCCATGCGCTCATAGCGGAAAATCTATGCAGAACCCCGCTGGATTCTCCGTGATTCTGCGCGATTTTTTCTGAATGTCTTGTTTTTTGGTTTTGTGGATTTGGCTGGGTCCGCAAAAATTTCCGGAAAAATGTCGGGTTTTTGAAATTTTTGCGGTGTTTTTGGCGCGTTTCAGGATGTGCGAAATTCGAGGACCACGGTCGTGTACGGTACTCAAGAGGCTTTTGCAGCGTGCCAACTCGAGGACCACAGGGTTTTTGCAGCGTGTGTAGCGTGCGAATTCGAGAGCTGGTCTTCGCGAGGGTTTTGCACAGTGTAGTTTCAAGGACCCGGAACTCGCGAGAGTTTTGCCACGCGCGAATTCGAGGACCACGGCAGTCCGAAGATTCAAGTGCTTGGGATGAGGAACTTTAGATGTTTGAACGGAGATCTTTCTAGTCGTGATGGAAATGTCCCATGTCATGAGAAGCCATTTTTATATGGCAAAGAAATAGGAGGCATTGTCAGGCCTGACGAAACCTTTATTTCTGCAGCCAAATTACAATGATCTGAATGTCCATGAAGATCAAGGCGTTTCATGACATTGTGAGTTCACGCATTGCAATTCTTGAACATGAATTCCAGTCGAAGCTGTTCAAATTTTCTTTACCCACCCACCCACACCTTTGAATGGAGATATTTCTAATCGTGATGGAAATATTCCATGTCATGAGAAGCCATTTTTATATGGCGAAGACATAAGGCTTCTGTATTCTTGAGATCTCTGGAAGGCAAACGCTAAATGTTCAAAATGCCCATACTTCCAAGATTTTTCGTCAAAAATCACAACAATCCGATTCCCGGGAGCCCCCGTGATTCCTCGGGATTCCCCGCGATTCTGCGCGATTCTCCGCGTGTTTCCGCGATTCCCGTGAAACACCCCGGGAATGCTTCTGAGTGGGTTTCGATCTACGCAGAGAGCCCCGCGAAAAGCCCGCGAATGCTTTTGAGTGGTTTTCGCGAGGATTTTGCAGGCCGAGTGCCCGAAGCAGCCCCGAAACTACTGTAGCAACTCGCATGTGCGCGCCCGAGTGCAAGTGTGCGCACCCGCAGATGAGACCCAGCGAGTACATGAGTTTGGGATCTGACCCTGATCCCTCCTCTCAACCAACCGTCACGCGGGCATTGGGCTGCATGCCTCGTTGGCGGCGAGGTTTCGGAGGGGTGGTTGGGGGCTGGGTGCGTGGTGGTGTGTGTGGAAGGTGTTGGCGAGAATCCAGGCTAGCTTTCGTTGTCCTTGGTTTTGCCTCTCAAGCTTGGAGTTGTCCGCGTTTAGCGAACAAAAGCGCTGGTGCCTAGTAGCAGCAACGTGCTTGCACCGCTGCCGATAGGTTCGATGTCGGGCCGGGGTTTAATTCGTACTTGCCTTGCCATGGAGATGCGGAGGAGTCAAAACAATGCAGGCCTTGCCTCCAGAAGAGCAGGATGGTGTTACATGCCGCAGTTCTCGCATCTATCAGTGATGTTGTTGCAGTGCAGCTTTATTTCGTTTCTGTCCAGGACCGGACCGAAAAACACTGCAGGCTGGGCACTTGAGAAATCTTGAACTTGGTCTTCGTGACAAATCATCCTGCTTTTCTGCAATGTTCGGTTCAGGAAACGCAGCAAAGAGCACGAAATGATGAAGGCGGCACTCCTGAGGCATGATCATGTGTTGCAGCACTGCTCACAATGGCATTGGCCAGGCTGCTGGAGTCCGTTGGCGCTGGCTGGCAATTCCAATTTTTGATGCTCAGCTGCACTCGTGTGGACAGTTTCCGCAGCTGTCATTTGGCATAGACGCTACATTCGACATTCCTGCAGGCATCATCCTCATCCAGCAATTGCTGTGGCGCAGTTTGGGCTTGGGCTCGGCGGCCACGACTGCCGTAACCATGGCCGACATGTCCCGTGTTGTGGCGACCGCCACAAAGAGTCGAGTTTCCGCTTCTTCGGAGGCGACGGCCTTCAAATTTGCGTCCGTGTCCTCTGGTTTGCCAGATTCCTGCTCGGCAATGGCGTTGCAAATCAGAATCCGTGAAGATAAACATGCGCAAGCCTCAGAGGCTGAGCGGTCGAGGTTGCTTCGGAGCTTTCAGCTGGCTGCTGATCCACCGGATGTGGCATCAATGTCATGCGCACTTGCTGCAAGAAGACAGCTCACTTTTCAGCCTGGTGTCCGCACTTTCCGCCGTGTTATGCGGCCTCCACATTTGCGTCCCCCAAATGCGTCGTATCTGTGGGCGACTGTGGCAGCCACGCCCCTATGGTGGGTGCTGTCCTTGGTCCCCCAGCAAGCACGATGCAAATGGCTATGTTTCACATGGACCGCCCAGCGTGGTCAGCTTGCAAAAGCGTCCCGTTCCACGATTCAGTTTTCAGGCTTGTCCTGCAGGGGCTTCTGCGTTGGATTGGTGCAGCAAGGGCTTTGCAGGTCAGCGTGTTTGCCTCTGTCCAGCCAACACCTGTCGGCCGTTTTGCTGGTTTTTCTGCGCAAGGTGGGCGAGTTGCGACATCCAAGTGTGCCGACAAGTGACAATTCAGTCGATGCCAACCGTCACATTCAGCAATCTGGGTTGAAGGCTTGCAGAAGCTTCTCGTTCGGTGATGCAGCTTTCAGGCTTGTTCTGCAGGGCCTTCTAGGTTGGATTGGTGCTCTTCATCAAAACATTGACGACAGATCAAGGGCTTCGCAGGTCAACATGTTTGCCTCTGTCGAGCACCAACCTCATCTGCCCGCCTCGCTGACAAGTGACATTTCAGTCAACGCCAACCTTGGTAGCTGGCCTTTATACGGACTGTTCCATGATGCCCTGCTGCCGGCTTTGACATTGACCGGCAGACGGTCGATTTCGTGTCACGTCTTCCTCATAAGTCGGTTGGCGTGCTTTCTTGAGTATGTGCCGACACGCGCGCATACCCAATTGTCTCATATGAGTCCACTGAGGGCTGTAAGTGCGAGTGCAGCTCTCTCGTGTGCACGCAGGCGTGGCATCCTGTGGTTCAAGCCCTTGCTTGTGGTTTCCCAATCGACATTGACCGTTCTGCCTTGTATCCGTCTGCAATCCGCATCCATGTTATGGTGTTTTTCTTCTCCGTGCACATCGTGTGTCACCGCGCAGCCAGTCTTGCCAGCAATCGTGAGGAGGACGAGCGTGTGCGTGCAGGTCCGAAAGTGGCCGCTGTGTCGCCAGCTCAACAGGACTGTTGTGCGGGTGAAGCGAGCTTACAGGCTTGGTCGTGGTACATCTACTCCATCGTCAGTGATCCATCACCGGATTATTCTGTCGATTGTCGTTCGGGAGCCGGTCCACCCACTCCCCAAGGTTAAACTCAACCTTGCCAGGTGTCCGGATTACCTTTTCCACGTGCGGGCTCTGAGACGCCAGATGAACTTGAGTTTTATGTTTCGGTCACTTATGAGCAAGCGCTTGAAAAATCGCGTCTGCACGCAGATCATGTTGTCATCTCTGTTTCGTCCTTTGAGAGACGTTCATTGAAACATGACATCGCATGACGATGCTTCCACGATGAGGATACCGTAGGTACTGTACAACAGACCATAGGCTTATCTGCAGCTTTATTCAGGGCCCTGATTCAGGGCCCGGGCCCTGGCATGCGTTGCTAGAAACGAGTGTGTTGCAAATGTAGCCAGGCCCAGTGTTGGACGCAGAGAAGGTAGAAATGCAAGTGCCAGCTAGCTCGGGCTCGAGGCGACCCATTGGAGCAGAAGTGTCGGCTTAGTTGGCTTAGTTTCGACTTCCAATTTTGCAGTGGACTCTGCAGCCGGCGAGCAAACCGCGCACAGTCTTGCCGGATCCAACAAATGGCAGCACACAGGGGTACAAATAGCACCGGCCAGTTGTGTGTTGTCTCGCCTGCTGCACATCGTGCCACCAAGGATTCAACGCACACTCACAGTGGAGGCTGATAGGCGCCGCACCTCACGAGGAGACGTGCGAGGCAATGGACAACTTGACGGCCGAAACGATGCAGGACAGGGAGTTGCCGCCTTGCCCTCAGGTGCTAGGGTGCTCGGTGCCATAGATATGGAACCGCGGAGCTTTCCGTTTCACTGTCCTGTGCGCCTGCCAATCTGGGTGTGGACATTCTGCTTTTGCTGGGGAGCCTCGCCGCTCCCCACGGAGAGCATGGATGTGGCCTTGAGTCATGCCGAGCTGCCCACTGCCAGAGCCGTGCTGAGTTCCGGCTGGCGAGTCTTGCTTCTCATAAGTACCTCTAACAGCACATGTGGCATGGCCTTGCGATCAGAGTGGCCGGTGGCATTTGTCTGGCTCGTTAGCCTTCTACGCCTTGAACTCTGTGGCTGTCATAGGACTTGATGACGTGAGCTGGGGCAGTGCTGTGGCAGTGCTCTTGCATGGCCGGCAGCCGCCAACAAACAAGTTTCCACTTCGTGTGCTTGCGGCAGTGGTTGGGATTGGATGAGCGGGGTATCTCACGTGTGCTGGGCTGTCTGCCCACGGTGCTTGGGCCCGCCATTGCCTACTTCCTGGTCATCGTGTATGAGGTAAGGAAGGCCGGCTTCAGCTTGAATGACGTGAGCAGGGTGTCTGCAGGGACACAGATGATGTCCGCTGCCACCTTCTTGTGCCTGCAGCTGGAGCGATCTTTCTTGCTATTCTTGTTCCGACGCGTCTTTGCTGGAGGCCTCTCAGGTGAAGTTCAGATAAAACACCCCTTCGAGCCGAACTGTCAAGTGACGGTGAATATCATTTTGGTGCATGTTGCAGCCGAGGGTGGACGCATCGCTGCAGTGATGCTGGCTGCGATTCAGAACCCAATGGATTGGCAGGGTGCGATCCTACCGCTATGCCTGGGTGTCCTTCTCAATGTTGCCTCCCGAACGCACTTGCTGGCCTATGTAGTCATGAAGATGGGTGAGGGAATGTTCCCCAGCCTTCGCGCAATATGTCGGCCCAGGATTCAAAGCGCTCTGCTCCAGGAGGTCAAGGTCGTGGTTGGAAACCTGCGGTACGTCGCAATTCTTGGAGTCCCTGCCCTAAACCCTAAAGGTCGTGATGAGGAATCTCTCCAAAGCCATCTGGCCAGGGAGGGCTGGCTGCCGCCCACGTTGTTTGTGCTCGCCATAGCTCTCGAGATCGTTGAAGATCTAGTGGTCAGATCTAGTGGTCCCATATCTCACGCGGGTACCACTGAATTGGCCAGAGGACGAGCAGTTCCCGATGCGGCACCCGAAGAAGTTGTCACGGGCTGACAAGAAAGCCCATGGCTGCCTGGCATGTGGTTCATTGCAGTGGCTATGCCATAATTTGCACGAAGGTCTCAGTCATTGTAATCCTGGGCCCAACATTGGCCTTTGGTTGTGATGAAGACGTGCAAGAGTGACACGACACTTAAGTAACATTTTTCCCATGGAGAGACTCTGCGGAAAGGACACATTCCACGCACGGTAGCCTCACTCACAAACAAGCTCGAAGAAATTGCGAAGCAGTTTTCCGGACTGAGTAATCGGAAGTTGCGGATGAATGAAAAAGAAATGCTTGCTGCACCGCCCAACAGGTTTCCAGGATGTGTTTTTCATCGGGTGCGTGGCGCGCCTGAGTGGAATGAGTGGTTGGAGGCTGAGAGAGTCATGAAACTAGTATATGAAATCACATGCAAGTACATGATATCTCCGTATTGGAACTGAAAGATTATTCTCACGAAAACTGGTTCCTTGGAACGTGCGATTTCAATCAGTCAATCCAAAAATCAAATCAATAATCTTATATATATATATATACATATTTTTTGTTTCTTGTTTTTTTTTTTTTTTGGGGTGGGGGGGGGGGGGCAGGGGCCGGGAGGGGGGTTACGAGATGAAGGAGAATAGAAAAAGCTTAGCAGTTCAAAGCCAAGCGGCAATTTCATCCGTTTTTCGTGTTTGTAAGTAGAAAAAAGACACTTCCATGTACGTAATTGCTTCAAAGCAAAAACTGTGTATGTACACGTATGTATGCAGAATTTCCACCATACTACATACTGTTATATGTGAGTGTGAATGTACATGTGTTTGACATACATGTAGGTTCAATCATTATGTACACTGGAGTTACATGATGTAACATCAAGTAAGTTTGTGCAACATACACTCACTTTACGTAACATACACTTACTTTATAAGAATCATAGTGTACTTTGAAGTGACATAGTGTACTTTGAAATGACATTATAGGTTTCTTTATATGTATCTACGTCTATGTCCGACCACCCTCTGCGTAGAGGATCAGGGTCGGAGTATCAGCAGGAAATAGGACCGGAGCACTTCGCGGCCACTAGTTTCGTGTGTTTCCCACTCCATATTTTCCCGAGCTTCAGGCAGCCAGAACCTCGGGCGTTTTTCCATGTTTCAGTGGGTGCACTCTGTACAAGCAAGTGGATTCGAGCCGAAGCAGGATAGGTGTCTATGATACATGTCTATGTCCACGGTGTAGCCAGCTTCGCTTGCCGCGTGTGAACCTATGGTGTGCAAGCACAAGCAACAGGAGAAATGCTTGTGTACCAGCAACCAAGGTAGTAGTACTCCGCAACCATCAAGAGAATGCAAGGTGTCATGGTCCTGGTTCCGCTGATGCCTTTTCTTCTCGCTCCTTTGTGCTAACAGCCTAGCCTAGTCCCGGAGCTTCAGACATCTGGGAACATTTACCCTACACCCTGGACCCCAAACCCGAAACCCGGAACCTCGAAACCCGAATCCCTTTTCAGCCCTAAGCCCTAAGCCCTCAGCCCTAAGCCCCAAGCCCTAAGCCCTAAGTCCTAAGTCCTAAGGCCTAAGTCCTAAGTCCTACACCCTAAGCCCTAAGCTCTAAGCCCGAAGAACTTTATCAAACTGTCCAGCCGTTTAGGGCGACCTACGTGCCATGCCGAAACGATGTCGAATGGCTCTGGATCTGCCCGTTTGCAAAGTGGAGCAAGGAGCATGCAGTTTAGGGTTCAGGTTTTTTCGGGTTTCGGGTTTCGGGTTTAGGGTTTCCTGAATTTTGCCCTGTGCCAGGACTGCTTGAGATGTGGGTCTTTGCCCAGGTCAGCCTTGGGCGCAGGCGCCGGGGTGCAAGTGGCAAGGAGTTTTTGGATGCTTGTGTTACAGGGTCTGTACTTGGAGTTTCATGGTACTAAGACTAAGTGGGTTAGAGCTACATGTTTTAAATTGGGTTTGAAGTACCCTGCACCTCCAAGTACCAAGCCCTGGAGCACTTGACACACGCCAGGCTGGGCATGCGCTCTTCGGGCTGGATGGCCACCTTCATGTCCCGCGGCCATCGAAAGGCCCTGGCCCCCGGCCCAGCTTTTTGTTCCCGGTTGCTCCATGCAGCCGGTGATGTGCTCCGTGACTCCTGTACTTCACTCCCGCGGGAAATTCCGCGCGCGCTTGCTTCGCTCCTTCCTTGCTGAAAAGCCCCGTCCCTGAAGCTTCAGCCTGTGTTGGTGCGTGGTTAGCATAAGCCATAAGCGTTTGCGAAGCCCCGATCGGCTGCTGCAAGATGCAGTGAACAGGCCTGGGCTGGTACGCTTGAGCCGCTTCAGCCGCTTCAGACGCTTCAGCTTGCGCTTGGCTCCCGCCCGTTGACTCAGCAGCGTGGTCGACGCTCCGGCCTTTGTCATCATAGACGGTCATAGACGGTCACCGAGATGGGTAGGAGCCCAACAGCAGCCACATGCGTCATTGGGCGCATGGAGCTTCACGGACTCCGCGTGACTGTCAATGCAAACAGCTGAGCTGGTCTCCCAAATACATGCTCCTGGCTTCCCGCCGTGCTCGCAGTCCTTCCCGCACTGCTGAGCTTCGAGCCTGTGCTTAAGTCGTGGCCTCCGCGTTCACCTGCCAAGACTGTGTGTAGCCATGCTGGATTGCGTGGACCGCCCCAAGTGCCCCAAGCCAGCGCAAGCAGGTTGCCGCCAGCTTGCATGTCTAGCAGACGAGGACGCTTGACCTCGTCGAGAAAGATTCCGATGCTTGCTGCGTGAAGTTGTCAGCAACTCCATCTTGTTGTGTGAAGATGTGAGAAGTTTCCATTCCATGCCGATGCCATCTGCTCGCTGCAAATCAAGTGCGTTGGACTGGAGCTGAGGTTTTTTGTCGAACGCAGCATGAGCGGCCGCAAGGGCGAGGTCTCAAAGGGAGGCACGTGCTACATAAAATGACACGGTCCCCTTTGTTGCTCCCCCAGACCATTCATTCACTTGCGCCAGACCCAATCCATAGATGTACACCACTTGATGTCACCTAGACCCTTTTCTTTCCAAACCCCATGTGCTGGAGCCTTCGCGCCGGCATGCTCGCCAGTGAAGCTCCTAGACCCAGAGCGCAAGCTCAAAAAGCAGAGCGGGGGTCGGGGGCTCCCCGACTTGCCCAGCATGATCTACACGGCTCAGCTGGGTGGGAGGGGCGGCACCCAGTACTGCTTCATCACGCTTCTGTGTCTTGGGCTTCGTGTTGTGTCCGTGGAGAGCGGCCAGCGTGGCTCTGAGTGGAAGGCTTTTTGGGCGTGAAGTCGGGCTGCGGCTCGGATATAGGTCGCCTCCAAGCTCGCTGCCACTTCCCACCTGCCTGCAAAGACCTCCATAAGACCTCCATGAGACCTCCATGAGACCTCCATGAGACCTCCTGGGGATGTCCGAGGATGGTGAGGCTCTCCATGTGCCTGTGGCACCTTGATTCCCACAGTGTCCCGTGGAGCTTGCAAGCCGACACGGCACTGACTGCGGTGGGAAGAGCGAGGCTCCACACGAAGATGTGGCACGCAACTGCCAGTTGACATGCATCTGAGACAAGCAAAGCCTCCAGCGCGAGCTCAGATTTCAGCACCATGCGCGCTGGTTTGTGGACGGTCAGGTTGCTGTCCGCGCCAGAGAGCGCTCGGCGCATCCAGGTAGGCAGCCTTTTTCTGTTGACTTGGCTTGTCGCTTGCACCATGAGCACAACCGAGCAGCTGCGGTACGCGCTGCACCTCCGCTTTGAGGGCACGGCGGGCGCAGGGTTCAGGTGAAGCTGCGAGAAGCTCGTTGAGCGGCTGTTGGCGCACAAGTGGGCTGAGGGGCGCAAACCTCCTGCGCTGCCCTGTCCACGCCACTCCACACAGCGAGCAGGCAACCCAGGTGTGAGCGTGACCCAGTTGTGCACTTGGCGGCGCTTGTCCCCATGCAGGAGAGTGGCCTCCGAGCCATCATCCTTGATAACCTCCTTACTGCAGATTCAGTCGAAAGGCCCTAGAAGGGGATTGGAGGCTCCAAAGCCTCCAAAGCTGCCCCCTCGCCTCTCAGGAGGTCTGGATCACCTTCAGAAGGCTCGAAGTGCCCTCTTGCTCCGCAAACTTGTGAGGCCTTAAGCGAGCCGGGGAGATCTGTCGAGTGCCCGAAGCAGCGAGGCTTGATGAACATAGTGGAGCTGCCCTGCCCCCCGAGATCCTTCGACTGCTTTTTGACCCTGTGATGTGCTCCTGGCTTCTTGATTGCAGGGGCCCATGAAGCGCGGAAAGGTGCAGCACGCTTTGGGGGGGTGCTGTGGCCTATAGTCTAGTGCTTGATGGGACCTGGCCTTTTGATAGGGCCAGGGCGATCCTGCGTGCCAAAGCAGCCAGAGCACCCGCACACGGATCAGGGAATGTGACAGCCTGGAAATCTCTTCAGCTCCTGCAGGGTGGAAGGGCTGCAGGATGGCGAGCCATCGACCCGGCGACCCTCCTTGTAGACCTCGAAAGAGCCTGTTGGCCCTATCCTGTAAAGGGTGTTGGGACTTGTGGGACTTGCTGCCACGGCTTTGGGTGGAAGGCACGTGTTCCCCTGTGGTCTCGACAGCCAGCGGCGTGGCTCAACGGCACAATCTCCTTCACCCCGATTCACCGGCTCAGGTCGGGATCCCTGCAAATCTTACGGACCTCTGAGGCAGAGCCTCTTCGCATGGCTCCTGAGCACTCGCATACCTGTGCCGCCGTGCATCCAGCGCAATGCATGCAGCCCAGATGGGCTCGTGGCGCGTAGTGGACGCCCCACTGTGCGTATCCTTGCAGCTTGTGCGTGCGGAGCTGAAGAGGCTCCTTGCAGTGCCATCTGTATAGGACAGAACCCTTACCTGAGCTACCGCGCGGAGCAAGAGCCTGGCCAGGGCCATCCAAGGCGCCCGACATGCGCGGCAAGCTTTAGAAAGATGCCAAAAAGCAGATCCATGGTGCCGAGATGTGCCGAGGCTAGTGCCCCAAGAGAAGAACTCGGTCTTCT